TTTAAATTTAATTATTATTTCTTAATTATTAATTTTAAATTGAATATAATTGAAATATTGCTATTAAATAATAGCAATAATAAAGTCTGATATTGTGGAAAATATAGTCATGCCCATCTACAGTCATAGCATAGTTTGATTACAGTGTCAGCCCTGGAACAGACATGGCAGCAGGGCTGCAGAGGTAGATCTCGTGGGCTTTGAGAAGCTGGCCCTCAAGACCTTCCCCAGTAAGCAAGGCCCTTGGACTACATCAAGGGTCAATGAAGGGAGGAATATCTGTCAGCTACGCATATCTCTGTTCCTCAGTTCTCTGGCTCTAGTTTGTAGTCAAGTCCCTACAAACTCCACTTTTAATAGTGACCCAAGCTTGGTGTCAGTTTCCAGGTCAGCTTCTGTCAAGAGACTTCAGATGTGCACGGACAGGATGGGCCAGTACTCCTTGGAGTTGGGAAGACCCACAGTAAAGGGAAAGTTTTAGAGAATCATCTCAACATGTTGGCTTCCTGCTGTTTGCTCTTAAGGGTGATCCCACCCAATCACACAAGCAATTGCTCCTGAGTAATCCTGTGGGACTCTTACTCAAGCTACTTGCCGGAGGCAGGCTGTCACCTAGCCACATTCCTTTGTATGTTTAGCTTCAACAGAATCCTGGGCAATTCCTCAGTCTGCCCAAGGCAGATGGCCCTGGTCATATCCTGATAACACCTCCTCAATGTTTCTGTGACTCAGGCTCATCAACAGACATCACCTGGGTGGGGTCTGAAGGCATGCCCTGTTGTTTGATGGGTATTTTGCACTAGGATGCTGACCGATCAAGATGATCAAGTGGTTGCCTGATTTCTACACAGTGGTGCTGAGACTGGATTCATCTAGATATTTCCCAGATCTGGCTTGAAGACCTGCTGATACTCTCTACTGTTCCTTGAGTGGGTTACTGAATGACTGATCTCTCAGGGTTAAGAGCCTACATTTCCTTTAGGCAAGTTTCTGCCTGTGATAGGCAAATTTCTACCTTGATAAAGAGAAAAGGGACTCCTTTATTTACTTCCAGCTTTTGAAGTATAAAATTAGCTTGCCTCTGTCTTTATAAAATAGGACAGGAAGTTGGGTTTGGTCACAAAGAACCCAAAGGGGTTAAACTTTTAGTTCAGCCATACTCTTGTTGAAGCCTTGGACAAGTTCTTCCTCCTCTCTGAACTCAGTTTCATTTTTAAAGTGGGACAATGTTTTCTTTTCCTTCCGGTGTTGCCATGAACAGGAAGTGAGTCCATAAAAGCCCAGTGTCTTGGGCAGTATCTGATGGCAGCTGAGGTGACCTTCATGAGTACTTACCAGGTATCTCACCTTGCTGATGTATCTTTGGGACTTGGAGTGCCATTCCTGTCAGAAGGGGGTCCTGCTTCATAATACTGCTATTTCTGTTGGCCACACGAGGGAGTGACTGTCTGTTCTCCACCCATAGAAGCTGCACTTTTTCTTATTGAAAGTGCTGGAGACAGTTGCTACCCACCCAGGAAGGCCACAGGGAAAAGCACCCAGCCATAAGCTCAGAAAGTGACAAGGTGAAAGAAAGGGAGTTTTGATTGGGACTAGCTCTGATAGGAGGGCTCTCTCTCTCTCTCTCTCTCTCTCTCTCTCTCTCTCTCTCTCGTGTGTGTGTGTGTGTGTGTGTGTGTGTGTGTGTGTGTGTGTGTGTACCTTGCCTATCTGGTTCATTGGCTCCTTGGTTGGGCTCTACAGACATGACAGGAAACTGGCCTAAAGTGGATGGAACCAGGAAACTGAGCCAAATGTCTTCCCACACTCTCTGGTCATTCCCCTAGCATAGCCCTGGGTATTGTACCACAAAGTCAGCTGAAAGGGAATTCTTGGGCTGACAGGGACATTAGAGTATAGGCCCTGCTGGTTTAACTGGCCTGGGAGACAACCATAGCCTACTCCAAAATGCTATCTGCCAGGGTGCTGTACACCACATGATAATCCCAACAGCCACTTCCAAGAGAAGAGACAAACTAGAGAGTTCCTGGAACCCCTTTTCCTTTTGTTCAGATATTTAAGATAATTATATTGGAAATTTAACAAAAGTCCCACTTATTTGGAAGTATGTTTATAAACCTTTAAATGAGATGGTGATGTAGTTCAGTTGGTAGAGTGCTTGCCTAACGTGCACAAGAACCAAAGCTCCATCCCTCAGTATCACACAGAGCTGGGCATGGGAGTATACATCTATAATCCCAGCACTTGGAAGGCAGAGACAAGAGGATCAGGAGTTTAGAATTATCTTGGACTACATGGCTAGTTAAAGGTCAGCATGGGTTACATGATATTCTTTAAGGAAAACTCCACAAAATATCTATTCAACAATAATGAATAATTTCTCATATGAACGAGGATAACTGTATACAGACACAAAACCTATAACACTAGATATGTTTATTTCTGAAAATACAGCATCCTTCTATCTTCTGAACTTGGTAAGATGGCAAAATATGTCCAACCTTTACCTACAGATGAGGAAATTGCGCTGAAACAGGGTGAGTCAGCATACAACATCCGACAGGCAACTTTTGACTGGATGATGAGCATCTCAGAAATGTGAACAGTGGGGCCTTTTGCTTCAAGCTCCAGGAGCAAGCTCTTGGAAGCATGCCAGAGAAGAATTAAGAACACGGGTTCTCTGCTTCCCTCCATTCTGCCACTATGTCCAGCCCACCAATGCAGGCAGATCTGGTCCAAGTTCAGAGAGATGCCTTTGGAAGTCCTCCAGGTAGGCAGCTGCTCCTGGTGGTTCCTGTGGCTTGATACAAAATGCTTGAAGCTCAGGCTAAGCAGCTGGGAGATGTTTCATCATCCACTAACTACCACAGAGAAGAGTGAACTTGGGGACAGCAGCTAGCACATCTAGGGTCCTCTTCCATGCACAGACCCCTTACCCCACCTACTCACAGAAACTCAGAGTCACAGAGTTTTGTGTTGAAGAGTATTTAACCCTGGACTAGGGAGATGGATCAGTGGGTAAGAGTGCTTACTGTGTAGGACCTCAGTTTAAACCCCTTGAACCCATGTAAAAAGCCAGATATGGATACATGCCTGCCTATAAGACCAGTGCTGAGGGGAAGGGGGTACAGATAGAAGAGTGCTGGTGCTTGCAGGTCACAACCTAGCTCCATAGATAATAAAGAGATCCTGTCTCAAGGGAGTAAGGCTGAGAGTGGAGTGGGACACCTGATGACCTTTGCTTCTGTGAAGGGTACATGTACCTGAAACACACACACAGATTAAACTCAACAAACAGCTGCAGCCAAATGTGACTGAAAATTAGACCTATTAAAATCAACTGAAGTGAGGACAGGTGCCCCTCACAGGAGAACTGTAGTCTGCTCCCAGATCAAAGATGGGTGTGGGAAAGGAACACCTGCCTCACAGGAAACAAGGAATGCCATGATGAGGAACACGTATGCTGATTTTCCCAGAAAACTGAGTAGCCCAGAGCCAATGGGCATCAACTAGAAGGGCCTGATCACTTTATGAACTTACAAGGTGTTTCTGCTCTGCTTGCAAGCATGTTTTGACCACTTGCATTGTCCCATAATCCAGTGTCATTATTTCCCCACAGTTTTCTTCTAGAAGCAAATATTGACACCCTGCATATCTGCATTCAACAATCTCTTTGTAGACACATATGGAAATATGACACATTCCAGACTAGGGATTAATTTGCAGTTTGTTACAAGCCTGTAGCTGTGCCAGTGGGGTGAGCAGCCTCTGAGACACGTCCATGGAAGAATGAGACTGGTTGTACCAGTCACACAGGATGGATGAGCTCCTTCCTCATTACCACCCACACAGTAGCAGCCAGCATACACGTGAACTCACATGAACACAGGAGGACTTGGGCACAGGTAGATATGGTCTAACTTTCAGGTGCCTGGTAAGACCTACATCACTCAACTGCATAGATCAAGCTATAGATCAGAAAATAACAGACTCTTTCTTCAAATGAGAACAGATAGTTAAAATACCAGATATAAGGGGGAAAAGGGAGTAGGTCTGAGCCTCTAGCTTATGGACTACACCAGTGCTCATCAGCCTATGGTAATTACAGGACATGACCAGGGCTGTTTTTAATGCCATATCCTGACTAGGAAAGTGTCAAGCTCAACACTGCAACACTGGCAGCCTTGGCATTCCTTGAATGCCGGCAACACAGGCATTCTGTTCCCACAAGGTCCCTCTGTGTAACTGCCACAGGGGTGGAGGGGACACTGATTCTAGGTTCAAATCTCCCCCTGCGCTCCCCAAGTTTCTATTGGCTTTCAGACTTTTACATTGTAAGAGAAGGCTGAATGATAGGTCCACCTATCCCAACTTGAAGTCCAATTCCATTGAAGCAGTTGCAAAAACAAAAACAAAAACAAAAACAAAAACAAAAAACCCCATAGCTGAACCATGTTAAGAGACAAGGCTGTGTCAGGTCTTAAGAGAATCTGGCTACTCTGTTCCTGACAACTTTCCTAACGTTCCTTTCTCAAGGTGAGCATGCAGAAATGTCACAAGTGCACAAAATACAGACACAAGGCACACACACACGCACACGCACACACGCCCACACACCAAAAAAGTCAGTGATAGTAGGATCTGGGTTTGACAAACACATTCCAGGATCTTGAATTAGCACATGGAAGCCCACCGAGCCTACTTTAGAGTGACAGCTACTTGCTGCTGAGGCTGGCCTTGCAAAACCCAGTCCTGGTGGCCCGGGAAACTCTTGCAATTCTCACTTCATCGGGGCATCTCTTATCGACACACAGCCCAGCCAGGGCACCCGTCAGTAGCCTTTGGGATCCAATGCGCCAAACGCAGCGCCCCACGAGTTCACCTCCTTGCTATCACTCAGGGTTGTGGTGGGAGAGGCCTTGAGCTTTTAGGTGGTATGGGCCCTCGGGGCCTTTAAGGGGGCGGAGCTGTTAAGGGAGACTCCGCTCTGCCCGCCCCCGGGCCGGTCCTCCCTGCGGTTACTGCCGGCCGGGCCGCGGTCCGGACGCCCGGGGCTGGGAACGAAGAGGAAGCGCCTGGCCTGCTCTTCTCAGCGGCGCGTGGGGAGAGGCCGCCTCAGTCCCGCATTCCGGTCCCAGGTGCGCAGCGCTCTATTCGGCTCGTAGACCAGTCCCCGGCGTCCTCCTCGCGGCCTTGGCTCCGGCCTCTCAGGCCCGGTTCCCCGGACCCCGCGCCCCTGCGCCCCGGCG